ACGCACGGCTTCATCGCCCGATACAGAGGTGAGACGCCTTCATGCGACCGCCATCATGTGACTGATGATGTCAGCACTCACCCGTGTGTGTGTGTGTGTGTGTAGTTGAGTGGAGCTCTTCGTCGTGTCTTCATCCTCTGTGTGGCACCGGATTCATCACAGACACCAGAAACCCAGAGTTCAGCATCACGGGACTCCAGACTGTAAGACACAAACAAACTCATCAATATGTAATATATATAGATGTGATATTTCTGACTCGTGTGTGTGTGTGTAGGGTGTGCAGTATTACGTGCGGGTCAGTGCGTATAACGTCAGAGGTTGGGGTTCGTTTGTGAGCAGCAGCCCCCCGTGTGTCGCCCCGTCCAGTGAGTAATGAGAACCACAGTAATATCGCTCATTAAAGCAATGTTCAGGGTTATTTTCAGGCTTTTCAAGGAGTATTGTTAGTGATTACTATAATTAACTGAAACTAAAACTAAAACCATTGCTTGAAATTAAATAAATATCAACTGAAAGAAAATAAAATACTTAAAAACTTAAGCTTGTTTTTTTTCCCAAATAGTTGCCAAAGGAATGTTTCTCATTTTATATTGTTAGTGATTACTATAATTAACTGAAACTAAAACTAGAACCATTATTTGAAATTAAATAAATATCAACTGAAAGAAAATAAAATACTTAAAAACTTAAGCTTGTTTTTTTCCCAAATAGTTGCCAAAGGAATGTTTCTCATTTTCATTTAGTTTAACTTAATGTTTTAAAATAACTGAAACTGAAAACTGAAACCTAAAAAAAACCCCTAATAAAAATGACAAAAACACACAAGAAAGTTACAAATGTAACTACATTTAAAAAAGAAAACGGAAAATATGAAATAAAACACTAATATGAAATATGAGCTTAAAAAAACTCATTCAAAATATGAATAAAACCTATAATGGTATCCTTATGTAATTATTATAAAATTATATATAAGAATTATATAATAAATTCTTTTTTCTTAGATTTATTTTTATTTTGTGGCATTTTTGCCTTTATTATGACAGGACAGATCAAAGCTGACAGGAAGTGAAGTGGGAGAGAGGGGGGCAGGATCGGGAAAGGTCCTCGAGTTGGGATTCGAACTCGGGACGCCTGTAGCACACTGGTGCTGTATGTCGGTGCGCTTCCCACAAGGCTATTTTATGAAATCAATTGATTAGATGTGCTTTTTGATTATTAAAGTTTTAAACCATTCAATTGGAAATACAGACTATGGAAGAAAAAAATTTTTTTTAAATTGTGAAAAAGTAAAACCTTTTTATATCAGATATTAACATTTTAATAAAGTACTCAATTGTTAAGCTTTTATGAATTCAATTAATTTGACATTTTTATATATTAATTTATTTTTTATAAATCAGCACAGATGATCACTTTATGGGTAAGTGTGCAGCAGTGTGAATAAATATTTAATAATAATAATAATAATAATAAAGTATAATCATCAGTTTATTACAAAAGGATAAAACAGTTATTTTGAATTGTAATAATATTTCACACTGTATTATGTGTGTGTGTGTGTGTTTAGGCTGGAGCTCATGCTGCGGTGTGACGGTGAGACGCAGGAATCCGGCCGCAGCCGTCAGGAGAATCTCACAGCAGATCAGAGAGCCGGTGCTCAGCGGTACACACACATGAAAACAGGAAAACAAAGCCTAAACAAATCCTGGCCAGGACGCGTGACCTGATCAAGAGTCACACAGATTAACGTTAAAGGAACACTCCACTATTTTTGAAATTTATTTTTATATTTTCAAATTTTTAATTTTTAGTTACACTTTTAGTAATTTTGTTGTTTTTATTAGTTTTAAATAATTTTTTTATAGTTGTTTATATTTTGAATTAATTATTGCTAATTATTAATTAATTTTAATTTTACATTTTAGTAATATACTAAAATATTTTTAAGTAGTTTTTTTTATTTTTCACTTTTTAGTATGTTTTTCTTATTTTTATTAGTTTCATTTTTGAAAACTGTCTATATAGTTTTCATTAATATTTTGAATGAGATTTTTTTATTTAATTTTCATTTAATTTAAAATTTAGAACTTTTGTGGTCTTATTTTATCAGTTTTAATTTTTAATGTTTATTTTTGTCGTTATGTTTATTTTACACTTTGTTTTATTTTTTTGTCTATGAGGCTTTTATTAATATTGTAAATTAGTTTTTATTTTGATATTTTTCAATTTTATTTTAGTTAGTTTTAGTAGTTTTGTTTTTTATTAGTTTTTTTAAATGTTTATATAGTTTTTATAAATATTTTATTATAAAATATTTTAACTCATTTGTTTCTTTATTTCTTCTGAGGATCACAAAAAAAGATGTTTTGAAGAGGGTTGAGAACCCAACAACACTGAACCTCATTGACTTTCAAAACAGACTGAGACATTTCTCTAAATATGCTTTTCTACTAAATGACTAAATGATGACAGAATGATCAGTTTTGGGTGATCTGTCTTTTTAAAACAGATATTTCAAGTTTTGGTTTTAGGTTTACAGTAGTAACTCAAACTAAAACTATAAAAACATGGTTTTACTTGACTAGAATAATCTTTAACTGAAATAAATAAATAAACTTATTTAAAAAATGTTCTCAACGTGTTAGCACAAAAACATTATTTATACATCGTTCTTGGAACATTGTATTCCTGCAATAGTTTGTTCATCTAATTTTTAAAAAATATTTCTACTTATTTCAGAATGTTCAGAAAAAATTCAAAAGTAACGTTCCCATAATGTTTCAAAGTGATTAAATGGAATGTTCCATTAACATTCACATAATCAAGAAAAAAACGTTTTAAAACATGTTAAATTGCACAATCACAGAACATTCAGAAACAGTGTTTTCATGACATAATTGGAACGTTAGCACAGTTTCTCAGAGCATATTTTTGTGAGCTGGGCATCAGACTCATGTGTGTGTGTGTGTGTGTCAGGAGATGCTGGTTGTGAGCTGGGCATCAGACGATTGATGCTTTATGAATGTGTTATTCTCATGTGTGTGTGTGTGTGTGTGTGTCAGGAGATGCTGGCGTATCATAGGAGGAGTCAGCAGAGAGCTCAGCCCGGTTTGTATGTGGGTGTCCTGAAGCTCTGCAGCTCTGTGGATCAGCTCCGCATCCTGGTCCCGCAGCGATTACCCAACATGCCCTGCCACTGCCGTGTCAGGAACCGGCCACACGTCTCACGGTCAGACTGGAGAACACCTGATCTGATTCATTCACACACACTGACTGATTCACACTGACTCTGTGTGTGTGTGTGTGTGTGTGTGTGTGTGCGTGCGCAGGGAGGAGTGGGCGTGGCTACAGGAGCACGCAGTGGGCGGGGCCTGTGGCGGTCAGGAGGGTGGGGATGACTCTGTGATTGACAGCTCAGGTGTCGAGGACTTTGTGAAGGCGCTGCGATCTGCAGTGACTCAACTGCTGACCAAACTCAATGTCCCACTGGAACGGGTAACAGCACGATTCATTCAACACACACATTCACAAAGCTTTGCATTAGCTACAAATTCCCATGAGATGCAGTTAAACTAATAAAATATTTCTTTTTTTTTTAAGCAAGTGTTTAATTTTGAATGCTTTCATTTATTGAATTATAAAAGTGTTCCATTTTGTATTTTTGGGTAAGAATAAGAAGCACTTCATCTTAGTGTCTTTCATTCCAATGTAAGAAAACATTTCTGGAATCTGCATCTGAAATACCATTTAGATGTATTTACACAGTTTATGTATCTCAAAGGGGACATGGATGCATTTAACCTGCATTTAATCTGTAGATGCATAAACAATGTTTTGTTTTTAACATAAAACCTTGAATACTTATATTTGAAATAATTTAAAACATGAATAAAATAGTAGTAATAAAAAAGTATTTTGTTATTGTGGAGTCTTTTATATCCATGTGGATGTTGAAATCCCCCAAGAGAAGGATTATCTCAAATTTGAGGCAGAGAAAAGACAATGTATCTGAAAATTCAGATAAAAAGTCTCCTATTTGTCTTAGGAGGCCTGTAGACTGTAGCCACTGCAGTAGAGAGCGGTGCAGAAACACTCAAAACAAGACATTCAAATGAGTCAAATTTGGGAACTGGACACATGTTGTACTGTTGATTGTGCAATCATTGTTGATGATTCAGAAGCTTTGAATCATTTGCAGAGAATGAATGTGTAAGTGTTCAGTAATGTGTGTATGTGCGCAGGCAAGTGAGTACCGTGTCTACACGCAGGAGCTGCTGCAGGTTGGCGATCAGGTGTCTGTGATTCTCCTGCTGCCGCCCTGTGAGGAGTTCAGATCCCGTCAGCGTCCAGCAGAGGGAGCTCAGCACACCTTCACCGTCCCCATGCACTGCTTTGAGCTCGGTCAGTCACTGATCAGCTGCACACACACACATGCACACTGTTTTTACTTTTAGTTTTAGTTAAGAAGCTACATTTAAGCCACTATATAACATGTATTTATATTTCAGTTTCTTGCCAAGGCAACATTTTTCATTTAAATTTTCTTTAACTTAGTTTCACTAAAACAACTTTAACTATATAGATACATTTAAAAAAATAATACCACCCAATAAAATAGTTAAGACTAAAACTAAAATATGAAAATAAAAACAAATTCTATAATTAATATAATATACAAATGACACAAAACAATTACAAAAAATGTTTACTAATATTAAAGCTGACAATATAAAAATAATTCAAAGTATTAATGAAAACAATGACAGTATATTAATTTTACTTAAAACAGCCTCAACGGTACAAACATTACAAACTAATGAAAATACAAAAGCATGAAATAAATAACAACCCATAAAAACATAAAGTGATTAAGAAATTCCCAAACAACCGGCTAAAAGCCAACCTAAATAATAAGTGTTTAGGTAAGATTTAAAAAAAGGTAATTCATATAGTTTTTACTTCCATAAACTTAGGGGTGTAGCGGTACACGTATTTGTACTGAAAATTTTCAGTATGGGTCTGACGGTTCGGTACGCATGTGTACCGAACAAATCATTGTTTTAACCACTGCAAAGTGGAACTTCACTGGAAATTTCCAGTTTTATTGTTACTTTTATGCTACTTTTGATAAGAAACAAAGTATCAACTTTCAAATTATGTCATTTTTTGGGGAAATTCAAACAATAAATGCATCTTTTCCTCTTTACTACTAGTTTTAATGCAAAATAAACATGAATGAACATCTCACGCCTCATGTAATCAATCAGTCAATCAGTGTTTCAATCGTGGAAACACGTCATTAAAACAGCTTGTAAACAAAATGTCGTGTAGCATTTACCTCAGGCAAGTCATCAGTGTCTACATCTTGTTATTTACTAGAGAAATAAGCAATAGAGCAATGCATATTACTAATCAAAAATTAAGTTTTGATATATTTACGGTGGGAAATTTACAAAATATCTTCATGGAACATGATCTTTACTTAATATCCTAATGATTTTGGCATAAAAGAAAAATCAAAATTTTGACCCATACAATGTATTTTTGGCTATTGCTACAAATATACCCCAGCGAATTAAGACTGGTTTTGTGCTCCAGGGTCACATATATAATGTGATATAGCTTACAGTTATCTAATTTACAGGTTTTTACTTAAGCATTTACAGTGTTTTTCCATACAGATGATGTGTCATGTTTGTGTTTGATGATTGATGTGTGTGTGTGTGTGTGTGTGTTAGTGCACTTGTGGGCGTATGAGCGGGATCTGCTGTCTCAGTACTGTCAGCTGTGGCTCAGACTGGAGCTGGACGTCCGTCTTTCCCAGCAGGCTTTGAGAGAAGCGTTGGACACTAAAGAGCTGCAGGAGGCTACGGAGAGACACGCACACATCACACAGCTGGCACAGGTGAGTGTTTACCTGCTCTCTCACACACACACACACACACACACACACACACACACTCTCATATGCTGTGTTCTCTAGAGTCTGTCTGCGCTGTGGAGCGAGAGCCGCTGGCTGATGGACGTCATTCAGACGCTGCGCTCCAAACACTCGGAGGGGGCGGTGCCTCTGGGGCGAGTCATGACCTCACAACCGCCAATCAGATCAGCCGCTGATGAGGACACGCCCCCTGCTTTACATACGGTAGAACAGATGCAAACAGGTGAGAGAGATGAAGATTAGTTGTTTTGCTCCATTAATAATTAAACATTTTGTTTTTATATTTTTAGGATTGACTTTATTATTTACATTTTTACCATTTGATTAATTTTTAACAAGTTCTTTATTTTGACTTTTAACGACTTATTTTTAATGTAACAATTTCTTGATTTAGTCCCTTTTTAGTAAAGTGTTTTTTTATTGTTTTTATTTCAAAATTATTCATTTTAATGTAGTTTTTTAATGATTTATTCATTTTTAGTAAGTGTTTTATTTTGTTTTTATTTTACTTCAATTTATTTACTTAATTTTACATTTTTATGATGTCATTAATTTGAGTAAATTCTTTTTGTTTTTATTAATAAATGTTATTTTACGTTGAAAGTTTTATTTTGATTTCTTTTTACTAAGTGTTTTATGTTCTTCTTTTAATATTATAACACAGGTGCTTTTCATTGTTTTACTATTTTAAAGAATTCTTTATTTTAATTTTACATTTTTAGGATTTTATTAAAAATCATTTACTTTCATTATTCATAAGTTATCGGTATTTTATCAAATCATTTTTTAAACCCTACTACGCACGATGTGTCTTATAAGTTCACATTTATTGCATCTAACAGCATCACTTGTCTATATTATCTGCAAATAAAGCCCAAAAGCTTCTTTCTACAGCAAAGAAGACACAAAATGCGTTTAAAAGTTTCAATCACAGAAAACGATGACCAGAAAATAATCACCATAATAAAGGTTAAAGGTTAAAAATGAACGTTTCACGCTGATCTGATGTGACCAAACATCAGAAACCAGATGTGATTTTATTAAATAATGAAGAATCCCAGCTTTACCTGTTCTTTCTGCAGCAGAGGTCATGGGGTCAGAGGTCAGCGCACCTGTGGAGGTCACAGACGGGGTCATGTGTCCGGAGACGCCCACCTCACACTACACCGATGAGCCCCGTTCCCATGGAAACAGCACCCATCGCCATGGAAACAGCCTCCGGCAGATGCACTCATGTCCTGAACTCAGTGATCCGGCCGCCTCACATCCCATAATGCCTGCAGACGAAGGTCAGGAGCTGCTGACAGAGATGATGGACCTGTTCCAGAGCCTGGATCTGCTGGGAGGCAGTCTGACAGACCTGCAGGAGCTGGACTGGAGCGATCCAGAACCGGATCTGCAGAACCAGGACCAGGATGACAGGACGGGAGCGACGGACGGTGCCATGACCCACAGGGGACATCCGGTCAGGAGTCTGGTGGAGTGGGTCAAATCAACGATTTAATCAAACCCAGTCTGGACTAGTGATGGCCGCTTTTGAATCACTTCTTAATGAGGCGTCAAAAACGTTGCGAATCATTTGTTTCGAAACAGTGGTTCGGAGCACGTATCAAAAGCTTTCATGTGCAAACAGTGTGCTGAGGTCCATTTCGGGTGGGTGGGGGGGGGGGGGGGGGGGGGGGCAATCTCTGTAAACCCGTGAATCAAGCGAGTTCATTAAGATCGCCCCCCAGTGGTGAACCATTGAACCAGCGTCTCTGATCTCAGATCAGTTTTATCAATTAGTAGACATTTTTAATGAGACATTTGTGTAATTAAAAGGATGAGTAGTGGTTAATAGTCTCTTACTGGCCTGTTTAGTCAAGCGCTCCATTAAACAAACAAAACAAGCCCTGCAAATTAATAATAAATATTTTAAAAACGCAAATTATACAGACACGTCATATTTTATGGTATTTTATTATTTTGATTGCATTTAATATATAATAGTTTAAAGAAAGCATTTGCATTGGGTTTGTAAAAGCTGTTTATTTGCATGATTTGGCATGTGTTTTTGTTGCCTTTACAGTTTTGGCCAGCAGGTGTCACCAGCGTGTGGTGTTTCGAGCGTTTCGAAACAAGCGAATCATTTTGCGAAGCAACTGGTTCAATTGACTGGAAGCTTTAATAAGGTTTGTTTCTCCCATCACCATGTCATCTCAAAAATAACAGAAAATTATTATAATATATTATTAAATATATTCAATAATGACGTTATAAATTAAATATATATAGTACATTTTAAACATTTTATTTATAATATATTGTATCTTTTGTTAGTAAACGTTTTATTGAAATTATTTATTTACCTGGTTTTTATGATTTCATTCATTTTTAGTGGTTTGTTTTGTTTTTATGATTTTATTCATTTTGAATAAGCCTTTCATTTTAATTGTTTATATTTTCAAATTATATTTTACATTTTAACATTTTAATTATATTTTTAAAAATATTTATTTAAATTTTACGCGTTTATGATTTTAATATTTTTTGTGTTTTTTTTATTTCTAAATTATTTATTTACTTGAATTTTAAATTTTTATGGTTTTATTAATTTTAAAGATATTAGATTTTTTAATTTCAAATTTTGCATTAATTTTACATTTAAAATATTTAAGAAATATTTTAAATGATAATAATAATCATTATTATTATTAACTAAATTAAGTATCTTTATAAATATTTTAAAATATATTGGCCATCAAACATTTGATGTTGGTCTGTTGTTATGCTGGTTATATATATATTCCCTTTTTTAAATATATAAAATAAACCAAATCATCTCTGCAAGAGAATCATTTATCTGTGAAAAAAAAAAATTTTTTTTTGGGGAAAATTTTGTTTTTTTTTTTTACAGGTTCACAGAAACCCTGCAGCATCATTCGACTGTAGGCTATTTACTGTACAAATCAAATGTAAAGATAAAGATTTAAGTCTATTTGTATCTTATGTTTTGTTAAATGAATAAATATACATGTTTTAAGTGTTTTCTCTGTGATTATTACCTCATGTTTACCAGAAATTAGTTTTATATAATAATTACCAGAACATATTAGAAACCAAATGCACTTAAATATAAATATACATTTATATTTAACTACATATATATTTACATACATAGATATTATAAGCGTAATATCGATTCACCTCATGATCGACGCGCGGTTTGAGGTGTTTTTGTGGTGTTTGAAGTGTTTCTGGGTGTTTGTGGTGAGTTCCGTGTGTTTGTCTCTGTAAGTCTCAGTCGTGTGTGGGAATATGGCGGAGGAAAGCGAGTCTTCAGCTGCTGGTGAGTGAAAATAAAAGCGCAATACATGTACAGAGTCGCGGTCAAATGATCCGGATTGACGGAGTTTATCGCGCAGGATCACGTGATTCCGCGTCTTTATCAGCTCATGTTACAATCATTACTGCAGGACAGTTAAAGGGACACGGACTTATTTGAATGAAATTCATTTTCATATCACACAGTATTGCTTTACCCTATAAAGAATGACCATAAATGTCTTATTGAGAACTATATGCACCTGCTTTTATTTTGTCACTTTGTGTGAAAATTTTCATTCGGATTCTTATATGATAGAAACGTCTAGAAATAATAGGGATCCAATAAAAAACATTTTGTATTGCATTCCTGTTTATTAATTTACTTTATAGCATTGGACCACATTTTGTGAAGTTTTAAGTTATTTTGTCTATTTTAATTGTATTATTATTTCACTTAGGAGATTTTTTTTTTCATGAATATTCTGCAGGTCTCCAGATAAAAAATTAAAGCTGATTTGCATGCATAATGAGTAGTTGTAATCAGTTGTAACCATAATAAAATAAAACCTATCCTATATGCTTAAAAAAATCTAATTCTAATAGATTTGTATCGAGTTTGTCTAAAAACACTTATTGCATTCTTATTTCTGTATTTACGTTTTATTTTATTGCGTTTTATGTTATTTTTATTTCTTTGTATTTATTTCATTAGTATTTTACTCTGAATGGCTATAAATTTCTTAGTAGTTTTTATTGCCACAATCCTAGAATATTATTTAACTGCAAGAGATAAATTATATTGCATTCCTGTTTAAGTCTTATTTGTTTGTTTGTTTATTGTTCCATTTTCATTTAGTATTTTTATTTATACGTGTTTATTTATTTTATTAGTACATTACTTTGAATTAGTGCTGTCAACTAATTATTTTGGATTAATCACATCCAAAATAAAAAATGTTTTGTTTATACATAATATTTGTATACCATGTATTTATTATAAATACACACATGCATTTATATATTTAAGAAAAAATATATATTTATATATAATATAAATTATATGAATACAAATATAATTGTATGTGTATATATTTTCAAAATATATTCTGTATGTGTGTGTATTTATATATACATAATAAATATACAGAGCACACACACACACACACATATGTAAACAAAAACTTTTATTTTGGATGCGATTAATCGTGATTAATCATTTAACAGCACTACTTTGAATTAATATAAATTTCATAATAGTACATTTTTAATGCATTTTTATTACTATTAATTACTTTATACATGTAAATCAGGTTTAGTTCTATTGGGTCCTGTATAATGTTCATGAAAACACTCTTGAATAAAAACTTTTCTATTTGTAAACTGTTTGCCGTAATTAGTGCTGGGCAACAATTAATTACGATTAATCGCATCCAAAATAAAAGTTTTTATTTATATGAGTGTGTATTGTGTATATTTATTATGTGTGTATACATATATGTGTAGACAAACGCATACAGTATATATTTTGAAAATATTTACATGTATATATTTATATTCACATAATTTATATTATATATAAATATATTTAATATGTTAACAACATATTTTTTCTTAAATATATACATGCATGTGTGTGTATTTATATATACATAATAAATATACACACTGTACACTCATATATTATGTACACAAAAACTAATTCTGGATGTGATTAATCGTTGCCCATCACTATAGTAATAATATAAGCAGGTGTCTGTTGTCTCAGGCGGTTCGGCTGAGGTCCGAATGGCTCTGTTGGGTCAGACGGGTTAGGGCTGGAGTTCATCTGGAAACACGATTCTGGGTCGATCCGCGTTTTGGACGGATGTGTCGCCCCTATCGGTCACCAGCCGCTGCCAGCGTTCAGGGGGCGTGGCGGATGGGCGGAGCCTGCGGCTGATTGACACCCCGGGGTTCTTCCACACCTGTCTGAGCCCGGATGAGGTGCGCGCGGAGCTGAGCCGGTGCATAGAGCTGAGCGCACCCGGACCGCACGTGTTCCTGCTGGTGCTGTGCGCCGGACGCGCGAGAGCAGCGCCGCTCTGGACTGGGTCAGCGCAGCGTTCGGACCGCAGGCGCTCCGCTTCACCGCGGTCCTGATCACGTGCGGCGACGCACTCGGAGCGAAACCCGCGGACGTCTTCCTGAAGGAGAGCAAGGAATTATGGGAGTTTGTGTGCAGCTGCGCAGGCGGCTATCACGTGTTTGACAACACTAAAGGTACCACTACATAACCAACTAATAATGGAAGCTTGTTTTCACAATGGGATCAAATAAATAAAATTAAATAAGGTAATTGCAACATTTTATCTCGCAATTCTGACTTTTTTTTTTGTACCGACATTTTCAATAAAACAGAATTGCGAGTAGGTGCCGATGGCCTCGTGGGCAATGCGCCGACATGTGGTGCCATTGAGCTCTAACCTGGGCATCCCGAGTTCGAATCCTGGCTCGCAGACCTTTCCCGATCCCATCCCCCTCTCTCTCACCCGCTTCGCTTCCTGTCGACCTATACTGTTCTTCAGTGGCGCAAAAACGGGGTATGCAGTGCATAGGGGCGCCACACACAGGGGGGCGCCATTTTGCCAAAATCATTCTGTGAAAATCTTCTTTAATAAAACGTCATAAATAATCAAAAGCTTAGTTATTAAACATAATTAATGCAACATTTTTATTGAACGGTTTTTAGCATTTTAATGAGTTCAAAAATGTATTTCTTAAAAACTTATTAAGACGCGGAATGGCCGTATCTCTTTGCGACCACAACGAGTCAAACAAACGCGGAAAAGGTACATGTGCCAAATGAGCTTCAGTAGAACAACAGGGAACTGCGGTCTGATGAGATATTGTTATATGTCAGTAAAAAAACGTTCCTGTCCTGTCAGCCGTTTTACTGTGCTCACGGCGCACGCTCTTCAACTGTTATGAATACAAAAATATATATATAAAAATAATATATATATATATATATATATATTCAAATTACCTAACTAAAAAGTGAGCAATATTACATTTGAAAGTAAAAATGAATAAAAAATGTGTTCTACTGTTTGGGGTCTGCCGTCAGGAGTTAAAGGGGATGTTATGTGACACTTTTCTTTTTTTTTCTTCTTTTTTTTACTTTTCACTTTTTTCCCTATGGTATTAAAAAAGGGGGAAGGGGTTCAAACCTTTGTCCTGATGAGTTTGTATCCTTCCATGTACAAGCTAGTAATGGGCTTTTGGTCACTGACTTGCAGAAAGTTTTCTGCGTGGGTTAGTGTTAGAGGCTACTAGAATACAGTGGGGCGCCGACACTGATCTTGCATACCCCTCGGCAAATGTGCAGTTGCGCCCCTGCTGTTCTTGCTACTGTAAATCCTAAAAAAAAAATGAATCGCAAGATATAAAAGCTGAACTTCGAGATATAGGCCCGGTTTCATAGACAGGGCTTAGCCTAAACCAGGATTAGGCCATAGTTCAATTTAGCCATAAATAAAAATGAGATAAACATGCATTAGAAAAAAGCATTACTGGTGTGCATCTTAAGACAAAAACAAAGGCACTGACATGTTTTAAGATCAGTCAGTGCAAGTTTCTTTCAGTTGAAACAGCTCAGATTTACATTCTAGTCTGGGACTAGGCTTAAGCCTTGTCTGTGAAACCGGGGGATAAACTAATAAATGCGAGATAATGCAGAATTGCAAAACAAACTCAGATTTAAACTCAGAATCGTGAAATTTAAACTCGCAAGATATAAAGAGAACTGTGAGATGTAACCTCAGAATTGTGAGATATTTACGGAGAATTGCAAGATATAAACTAAGATTGTGAGATCAGAATGTCAAGATATTAACAGAATTGCAATATATAAGCTCAAAATTGTAAGATATAAACTCAGAATTGTGAGAAACAGAATTGTGAGCTACTAATTCAAAATTTCGAGATATTAACGCAGAATTGTGAAATATAAACAGAATTGTGTGATATAAACTCAGAACTGCAAGACAAACATAATTGCGATATAAAGTAAAAATTGGAAGATATGAATAGAATTGAAATATATAAATTCAAAATTGTGAGATATAAACTCAGAATTACGAGATATAAAGTCAGAATTACAAGATATTAACAGTATTGCGAGATACAAACTCAAAATTGTGAGATATAAACTCAGAATTACGAGATATAAAGTCAGAATTACAAGATATTAACAGTATTGCGAGATACAAACTCAAAATTGTGAGATATAAACTCAGAATTGTGAGATATTAATGCAGAATTGTGAAATATAAACAGAAGTGTGAGATATAATCTCAGAATTGCAAGATATTAACTGAATTGTGAGATACAGCCTTGTGAAAGTATTCATACCCCTTCATTTTTTTCATGTTTTGTTATGTTGCTGCCTTATGTTAAATTGCTTTAAATTACTTTTTCCACATCGATCTACACTCCATACACCATACTGACAACGCAAAAACTGAATTGTCACAACTGAAATAAGCACATTGCATAAGTATTCAAAACCTTAACTAAATATTTAGCTGAAGCGCCTTTACAGCCTCAAGTCTTTTTTTGTTTGATTCGACAAGCTTTCCTCATCAGCATTTATCTCTTCGCCTCTCAAGCTCTGTCAGGTTGGATGGGGGCAGACGCAGATTTTCAGGTTTCTCCAGAAATATTTGATTGGGTTCAAGCTCAGGCTGTGGCTGGGCCACTCAAGGACATTCACACAGTTGTCTATAAGCCACTCTTGCTGTGTGCTTAGGGTCATGGCAAAAACAGAGAAACAAATAGAGGCATAATTAGCGTAGCTGCTGTTCCAACCAAGCAAAATTGATTTGTTTAACCCAAACTAAAGAATAATAATGTGCATTTGATCAGATATAACTGCAGTACAAAATTATGAGATGCATTATTTGAATACTTGGCCAAAGAGATGTTTCTTTAATCTCACAGCTCTGATAAATGTGACTATAAGGCATAAAGAGATTAAGATATGAATTAACAAGAAGCTGCTTTGAAACTGTATTGTGAAGAGCACTGCAAAAATAAATGTGACTTGACTGAAGGTCTCGAGGAGAGGTCGCAGGTCACCGAGCTGCTGAAGAAGATCGATCTGCTGATGGAGCATAACGCAGGAGCGCATTACACGCTGACATGCTGCTGCAGGCTGACACTGCTGTACGCCACATGCAGCAGAGGATTCTGGGAGACGATCAGGAGGACGAGGAGGCAAGGAAGAGGGCGGAGCGTCTGTTCTGGTACGAGCTGCTGACGGTCATGGGCCGCGGTGCGGTGGAAGCGTCCGGTGTCAATCACATCCGCTGCTAAAGTAATGGGAGGAGCCATGAGAGAGGGAACCAAAGTACTGTACAAACACAAGACGACACTCCTGCGCTAACACACACACACACACACACACTTCAGAGACCTTTAGCAATACAATATGAATAAACAGATAAAAATATACAACATCGTCATCAACACTTCCTCTAGATGTGGTCAAAAGTTTGCATTACAATGAGATAATGCATGAATCTCCCAATTAAAAAATGAAAAAAAAAACCAAATAATTTCACAAAATGTTCAGGACAATTGCACCAAAATTATATTTTTCATAAAGAAAATGGGGCCTATTTTGAGACCATAATTTTTTTGTGATATATGTAATAAAGCACTTTCAAAACATACTAAAATGCATATTTAAAATTGTATTATTTTAATTTATTATTTTAATCAATTTAAAAGTATTTATGTTTTTATATATATATATATATATATACACACACACAATATAACTATTATATATGTACATATTTAGTTGTACTTAATTTAATTTATGCTGATTTTGTTTTGTAGACAGGAGAATGCAAAAATGATTGATTGTGCTAAAAAATTATATGCATCTTCACACAAAATATATTTTTTTATTTATGACTGCTTGAATGATAACGTCGGTTTAATCATCACGAATGTCTGATTCACTTAATGAATTAATAAAGAATGACGAAATAAAGAGCCATGACCCACAGATGGACTGAAGTGCATTTCTGCTCTCATGAACACAAGCATTTGCTCCGCAGAGACAGAAACTCTTTATTGGCATGCTATATAAAAACCAGGGCAGATAAACTGCCCATCTTCATTAAAAAAATCATTATGTTATTGCCAGACATCTGTTAAATGTCATTCTCAGACTGAAATGTGGTTTATACAAACATTCATGATCTTCTTGGGTATATTGGCACAAAAACACTTAAAGATCCAAATCAAACGTCCCTTTACAGAATGAAAAACAATTTATAGTTGGTCATAAACAAATGTACTACAAAAAAAAAAAAAACAAGACTATGAGAATAAACGAGAAAAGCAAACTATGAACTACAGAATGTAGAGTGTTTCTCACACATACACATATATAAACACACACAGACACATCCTCAACACATTGTCTTTATGAACAGAAACACATTAAGGCATCAAAGACGAGACATGTCCAGCAGATCTGATCACTATAAGGCACAATTACACCAGCCCCACATGCAGCTCAAAAACAAGAGCTACAGCGGGGCCGGTGATGATGTCACAACTGGGTGTGGCCTAATGCAGGGGTGGGGCCTGATCCAACAACTCACACCGGCATCGGCAAAGTCATCTTTCCTCTTCCTCTCAGCACTGCAGATAGATAGATAGATGAGACAAACCACAGACGGATAGATAGATGGATAAATGGATGGATGGATGGATAGACATGCAGGCACATTGATCGAAGGATGGATAGACAGATGGACAGACGGATAGACAAAGAGGACAGATAGATGGACAAACGGATGGATAGACAAAGATGGACACACAGATGGATAGACGAATAGGATGGATAGATGGACAAACAGATGGATGGATGGATGGACAAATGGACGGACAGACAGAGAGATGGATGGACAGTTGGACAGGAAAACAGATAAAAAGGACGGACAGACGGATATACAGACAGACAAACAGATGCATTGAAAGACGGATGATAGACAGACAGATGGATGTACAGATAAAAGGATGGACAGACAGACAGACAGACAGATGGACAGATAAAAGTATGGATGGACAGACAGACATACAGATAGACAAATAGATAGATGGATAGAAGGATGGACAGACACATGAATAGACAGAGAGATAGGCAGATGGATAGAAAGACAGAATGATAAATAGACAGATGGACGGATAGACAGATGGACAACAGATATAAGGACAGACAGACAGATGGACGGATAGACAGATGGACAACAGATATAAGGACAGACAGACAGATGGATGGACAGACAGACAGACAGACAGATAGATAGATAGATAGATTGATAAACAAAATACAAAAAAATAACATTGATCAATAAATCTAATAATTTCATGAAAATGGATATAAGCTCAAAGTTGTGAGATGTTTGTTGACCTCTGGTGAAGTACAGATAGAAGAAATCGCAGTAGAAGATGGTCTGGACGACGCCGGACACCACGGCGATCTGGTCGAAGAATCCCTCCACGTGATAGCGCCACACCCAGTTAGCGAGGTACAGCGCTCGGTACAGGCCCAGGAAGAACAGGTAGTGTGTGGTGATGGACTCAGCCTCGCCTGTCTTAGTGATCATGAAGAGCTGCGGCAGGATGGCCACAGACTCCAGATAGATAGAGAACGTCCACAGTATCTACACAAACACAGAGATCTGTCATGACAATGTTTCATCTTAAAGCAGTCATGAACTGAGAAACCAAAATTGATCATTTTAAATATGAGGTCTTTATGATGTAATAGTGTGAATAAGCACCGCCTCTGCAGAAGATCCGATTCTACATCACTGCCTGTTTAGCCCCGCCCACGATTCTACAACACTGCCTGTTTAGCTCCGCCCACGATTCTACAACACTGCCTGTTTAGCCCGCCCACCGATTCTACAACACTGCCTGTAATAGTGTGGATAAGCACAACCTCCGCAGAAGATGATCAACGCCAGCCTGTTTAGCCCCGCCCACCGATTCTACAACACTGCCTGTTTAGCCCCGCCCATCGATTCTACAGCACTGCCTGTTTAGCTCCACCCACTAATTCTACATCACTGCCTGTTTAGTCCCGCCCACCTATTCTACATCGCTGCCTGTTTAGCCCCGCCCACCGATTCTCACACATGTAGTGTTTATGAGAGAGGCGAACACACAGGTCTATGCAGAAACCTAACGGTAAAGATGCTCTGAAGACAACAAGACACTGTGCAGTGCAAAGTTGTGGAAAAACAGTGTTTGCATTGCCTTCCTTCTGATCTCCACGTTAGGAAAGAGTGGATGGACTTTATTTTTAATGACCTAACGGACCGCGTTAGTAAGAACTTGGTCCTTTGTTCACTTCATTTTATCGTGGATTTGTTTACAAACAAGGCACGATTCGATGCGGGATTTTCAGAAAGAGTGAAACGAAAAGACGATGCTGTGGTGACCATATTGGATCTGACAGTCATGTCGCAACAAGTTTGAGTAACTGTTTTTATTACATGATCACTATTGCGTTGTCTGTTAAAGAGATCGTTTGATAACTACTGAGTATTTATGCATTTTTTACCTAAATCACGTGCATCTATGAGAAATGTAGGCTGTCAAACATACACAACTATTAGCCAATCTTAGCAGTGGGCGTTTACTTCCGAGTCTACGATCCGGCTCGCCTATTCAAACGGAGCGTTCTGATGAGGGGGGCCAAAAAACAGAACAGAAAATAGCCTATTACTTCTAAATTATTATGTTTTTGATGTAAGAATATTGATAACATTATAAGTGGACCTCAGAGAGCAGTACAAAACAAAAAAACAGAGCCAGTTCATGACCCCTTTAACATCTAAAGCTCTTGGTGTTGAGCTCTGACCTCCAGCGGCATGAAGGCGTAGTTCTCCAGGAACGACAGACCGGCCACCGGCACCAGCAGGAACTCCACACGGAACGAGTCGCTCTCAGAGTCGTACGAGTTCCTGAAGCGGAAGTAGATGAGGCTGACAGTGGCATACGCCAGGACCAGATACACCACCTGAGAGACAGACAGATCCCTATCACACATCTGGCCAGGGTCCAACCCCACCAAAATATTCACCAAAAACATGGAACTCTATATAAACTGAATAAATGATCAACTGTAAATGTGTTCAGCATTCTGCAACAAACATTTTTAGGATTTTCTTGACACTTTAAATCATAAAGTGCGCAGGATATATTAAAATTCATCGCAAGCTTTCCTGGGACTCAAACCCACAACCTGCTGTTGCAAGCGCCCTGTTCTACCAGTTGAGCTGCAGGAATGTAGTTTGAATGTATGTGGTTTGGCAGCTTCAGGAAACTAGTTTTCGGTTTGTTGTGCACATAATTTTCTACAGCTTTACCATGAGTTTTGCACGAGTTTAAATAAATGATAATAAATCATTTCAATAGGTGAACTATAATAACAATTCAGTGCAAACATTTGCTGAGCAATCACAACAGTTTCAAGATCAGCTGTGTGTGTTTGTCTTTTTTTCATGGAAGACCATTTCTGCCACAAAAAAATCATAATTATGATATTTTTTGTCATAATTATCTTAAATTTAACTTTTTAATCTCATAATAATTATGTCTTAAATGTCATAATTTTTTTAATGAGAAATAATTTTTTTAAAACTTTTTTCATAATTATGACTTTATCTCAATTTCTACTTTTTAAACTCATTATTATGACAATGTCATAATTTTTACTTTGTATCTCATAATTATGACTTGGTATCTTGTTATTTTGACTTCGTATCTATTCTGACGTTTTATCTCAGTTTTAAATGCCATTAATAATCATAAATATGACTTAGTATGTCAATTTTGACCTTTTTATCTCATAATTATGATTTACCAAAGCATGATTTTTTTTTTCTTATGTGGTGAAAATGGCGCTTTCGTGGTCTTTACCTTCATTACGGTGTTGTAGATGGAGATGAAGGATGTGAACAGGTCCAGATATCTGGTGGTGAAGACCAGCGCAAACAGCACCTGAGACTTCCCAGAAATACCTGAAACACACACATACACAACTCAACTTACGAACAGAACAGAACAGGACACAATAGGATCTTGAGTTCCTCCAGGAACCTGAAGAACCCCTGAAGAACCTTAAAAGCATGCTAGGTGGCTCACACAATCAGCTGCCAGGTAAACACAATAAAACTACACGTGAGCAAACGCTTAAGATCATTTACAGCCGACAGTCGACGTTTGCGCATTCAAAGCGTTTCAAGCGTTTTTCATGTGTGTGAACGAATCCTAAATAAGATCCGCTCCGGTTCTGCTCCACAGTCACGGTCCCAGGTCCGGTTTAATCACCAATAACACTTATGTGATGAAAATCACATACATCTGTAGTTTTTAATCACTGTAGTTTCTGCGTGTACCTGCGCATGATTTGGATCTCCAGATCTTCAGGAACAGAATAATGATGGCGACCAGATGACAAACATCTCCAGACAGTCGGAAGATATTCATGTTATCGATCGGTAATCAGCGCTGGATTTAAAGAGTTTTGCAGCTGTTCTCAGATGTTCGCTCCGCTATAAAAAAAAAAAAAAAAACTCTTTCTTTCTGCTGCTCAGCGCGTGCGCGTCATCCGGTTGCTAGCATAAATCTCTTAGTGGTTTATTACATATGCGCAAAAGAATCCGTGATAATTTACTGCAAAGTCTCTCTGATGGTCTATGCTGGACTGTGCGCTCGCGCCGCTGATCGGTGACGTGGCTGACGGTCTGCGCGACCAGGATCCGGGTTTCCGCGCCGCGCGCGTGCACGAGCCGCATCACAGCCTCTGCAGCGCGCGCCTTTAAAGGGGAAACGCGTCAGCTAAAAAAAGCGACGACTACAAGCTGTGTCTGTGCACTCAAAACCGCTCATTTAATATCAGAATATCGAGATGTTACATAGTATTGTTCGTGAATTATACAGCTCCGCTGGAATTACTCTATAATAAGCCCGTCTGCTGTTTTTGCTACATATTTTTTAAATGTGAACCAGTGGATCGACAAAAAGCTAATGCATTATAAAAATCTAAACAATTAAGACACTATTTATATGTTATTTAATAATTATCCTAATTGATAATAATTGTTTAAATTAATATAATAATTGATACTTTTGACTCATCCCTTTTCTTAAAAATTGCTTAAAGGCTGAAATGTGAAGTGCAGATCTGAAAAAGGTCTTTAAATCTAAATTTGATTTTAAAAACCCTGCAGATAACAGGTTATTTTATGGTACCATATGGAATAACTATTTTCTTTTAATAAGCCCTTATTAACTTGTCCTTTTAGGTTGTTTTGAGAATGTCCTGTTTACAGACAATGCAATTGAGATGTTTACATTGGCTTGTTGGGGTAATATTGCTGTCAACTGACAACAAAGTTTTCCTTCTGAATGAGCATAACTGCACAAGTTTTATAGTTAATACAATCTTTAACACTTCTCATAACACCCGATGTACTTGCTACATTGTTAGAAGAATGGCATCTACGCTAATATTAGTCTGTTTCTCTCTTATTCCGAGGTCACCGTAGCCACCAGATCCAGTCTGTATCCAGATCAGATGGTCACTGCAGTCACCCGGATCCAGTACATATTCAGACCAGATGGTGGATCAGCACCTAGAAAGGACCTCCACAGCCCTGAAAAACAGCGGAGACCAGTGCCTGTTCAGTGTATGATTCTGCCTGTTTACCGACCTAACGTTTACCTGGATTATTCCCCTTGCTTAGTTTGCCTGATCGGACTGATGTATGTGTTTGGACCTTTTGCCTGCCTGCTCACTTTAGCATTCTGGATTACCCCTGTAAGTGTTATCAAATTGGACTGTTATTCTGGTTTTGACCCTCTGCCTGCCTTGACGTTCCTGTTTACTGAAATTGTCCTCAATAAACTCCCGCACATGGATTCAGACTCGGCCTCAGTGTCCTCATTACAGAATACTTCGCCTTCAATGAATCCAGCGGAAGTTTCTAACCTGCAAACGGCATTTGCCTACCAAAGTGAGATATTAAAGGGCTACCGGGAACAATTCATAAACCTTCAAGCAGTTAAGGAACATCTTACTCATTACAGCTTGAGGCAGAGGTGTTTGAATATCCCGCAGGGGGCAAGAGTATTTCTACTCAGATTTTAAATATCTCACAAGGTAATCACACCGCTGCTGAGTATGCGGTGGAATTCAGAACGATCGCCGCTCAAAGTGGATTTAATGACACTTCTCTTAAATCGATCTTTCAGCAAAGCCTGAACCTCGAACTGCAATCTGTCACAAGAAAATCGCACCGCTGCTGAGTATGCGGTGGAATTCAGAACGATCGCCGCTCAAAGTGGATTTAATGACACTTCTCTTAAATCGATCTTTCAGCAAAGCCTGAACCTCGAACTGCAATCTGAACTTGTCTGTAAAGGAGAGGGTCTATCTTTTTCTGACTTTGTAACGCTAACCATTAAGATTGATAACCTGATGAGACAAGTCCCGAAAAGAAGAAGAGTTAGAGGATTCCATCATGAGCCACTAAGTCCCTCTCAGCTGTTAACTCCAACCGACGGCAACGAACCCATGCAACTCGGTACCTCCAGATTATCTGAGGAGGAAAGAACAAGGCGTCGGCAGCTTAATTTATGCTATTACTGTGGTGAGGCAGGCCACCGCAGCCCTGGATGTCCACACAAGCCCCAAGCAGCTTCGAGGGTGAATATTGAGACTTTCTCACTGTTAAGTAATAAGTCATTCATACTCCCCGTCACAATTAAGACTGAAAATGTCTCTCTTGAATTCACAGCGATGATCGACTCGGGAGCTGCCCTGAACTTAATAAACAAGAGCATTGTTGACAAATATAATTTCCCCACTCAACCTTGCACCCCCCCGATCAAGATTAAAGCAATTGACGACACACTCCTTGGAGAGGGAATTACTCAACAAACAAGAACTCTCTCCCTCCATGTTGGTTTATTCCATCAAGAGTCCATTACCCTGTACGTTGTCGACTCCCCTAAACATGAAATCATCCTCGGATACCCCTGGCTATCGGTTCATGACCCTGACATCTCCTGGCATCATGGTGAGCTAATCCAGTGGTCCAGGTTTTGTATTAATCACTGTTTTACTACACGGCCCCAACCATGTCTCGCAACCAGCATCGAAAGCCCAGCGACCCACAAAATTATGAACATCCCCTCTTGTTACAATGGCCTGTCAGAGGCGTTCAGCAAGACCAAGGCCACACATTTACCACCCCACCGACCGTGGGATTGCACAATAGACTTACTTCCTAATGCCATGCCACCCAAGAGTAAGGTCTACCCGCTATCCAGAGTTGAAAGCCAGGCCATGGAGGAATACGTCGAGGAAGCCCTGAGCTCAGGTTTCATCCGTCCTTCCACATCACCAGCCGCCGCAGGGTTTTTCTTCGTCGAAAAGAAGGATGGAGGATTAAGACCCTGCATTGATTACAGAGGACTCAACAACGTAACAGTTAAATTTCGCTATCCACTCCCATTAGTTCCATCCACCCTTGAACAACTCCGTGAAGCCACCATTTACACCAAGCTTGACCCAAGAAGTGCATTCAATCTGATTAGGATTAAGGAGGGAGATGAATGGAAAACTGCCTTCCTCACCACTATGGGGCACTATGAATATCAGGTCATGCCTTATGGACTTGCTAACGCACCCGCTGTCTTCCAATCCTTCATTAATGAAATCTTCAGAGACCTGCTCAACCAGTACGTAGTAGCCTACATTGATGATATCTTGATTTACTCTAGATCTGAAGAGGAACACATCAACCCCGTCAGAACTGTTCTCACTAGATTATTGGAGAACCAACTCCGTCAAGGCTGAAAAATGTGAATTCCATGTAAGACAGACGACATTCCTGGGCTACCATATTAGTCACGAGGGAGTAAAGATGGACGAGACTAAAGTAAAGGCAGTCACTGAATGGCCACAACCAACCACGTTAAAGGAACTTCAGCGATTCCTGGGCTTCGCTCATTTCTATAGACGCTTCATCCAAAATTACAGCATGGTTTCCTCCCCTTTGACATCTCTCCTGAGGGGCAAGCCCTCAAAACTAAGATGGACGGAAGAGGCTAACAATGCTTTTAATACCCTGAAGGAAAGATTCACCACAGCACCCATCTTGAACATCCTGACCCCAATCTTCCATTGAAACATCCTGACCCCAATCTCCCATTCGTGGTCGAGGTAGACGCCTCAGATTGTGGAATCGGAGACGTACTTTCCCAACGTCATGGCCAACTAGGCAGGCTGTTACCATGTGCATTTTTCTCACGAAAGCTAACAGCAGCTGAACGTAATTATGACGTGGGAAACAAGGAACTTCTCTCCATGAAAGCAGCCATCGAGGAATGGACTAGAGGGAGCACTTCATCCTTTTCAAGTCATTACTGATCATAAGAATCTCGAATATATAAAAAGTGCCAAACGTCTCAACCACGCTAAGCTCGATGGTCCTTGTTTTTCACCTGTTTCCAATTTACAGTCACATACAGACCAGGCAGTAAGAACAGCAAGGCAGATGCATTGTCCAGACGCTATGATCCCCCTACTGAAAGTCTCACACCAGAACCCATTCTTCCTCCTTCCGTCATCATTGCTCCAGTTACCTGGGACATCATGGAGGAATTACAGCGAGAACAACAACTCGACCCGACACCTAATAGCTGCCCCCTAAACAAGCAGTATGTACCTCACAACCTACGACAACGAATCATGCAGTGGGTCCACACCTCCACAGGTACGGGCCACCCAGGGATATCTCGCACCCTTTGTCTGATCCAAAATTCATTTTGGTGGTCTTCTATGACCAGAGACGTTACTACATATGTGAAGCTTCTATGACCAGAGACGTTACTACATATGTGAAGTCATGTCAAGTCTGTGCCCAGTCAAAAACCCCTAAGGAACTACCATCTGGCCTACTCAAATCACTGCCAATCCCACAACGTCCTTGGTCCCATCTCTCCATTGACTTTGTAACTGATCTGCCTCCTTCTAATGGTTACACTGCCATTCTCGTCATTATCGACCGTTTCTCCAAGTCTTGTCGCCTAGTACCATTGAAAGGACTACCCACCGCTATGGAGACCGCTCAAGCACTGTTCCACCATGTCTTCCGTGTATTTGGCCTTCCAGAGGATATAGTCAGTGATCTGGGCTCCCAATTCACTTCCCAAGTCTGGAAGGCTTTCTGCAAGCATCTGGATATCAACATTAGCCTAACTTCTGGTTATCACCCTCAATCGAACGGCCAAGTTGAGCAATTAAACCAGGAGATCGGCCGATACTTACGGACCTACTGCAGTCGAGAGCAACATCGTTGGTCTGAGTTCCTACCCTGGGCGGAATATGCCCAAAACTCTCTCACTCACACATCCACCGGTCTAACCCCCTTCCAGTGCGTCCTTGGGTTTCAACCTCCCTTGTTCTCGTGGTCTGGTGAACCTTCCTCCGTCCCGGCGGTTGACGAATGGATTCGCCGGCGGTGGACGAATGGATTCGTCGTAGTGAGAGGGTGTGGGACGGTGCACATGTCCGCCTCCAGCGAGCCGTGAGAAGACAAGAATTGCAGGCCAACAGGCGACGTCGCCCACATCCTCCCTACCAACCAGGACATCGGGTGTGGCTCTCAACGAGGGACCTCAAGCTGCGGCTGCCCAGCAGGAAGCTCAGTCCACGGTATGTTGGCCCTTTTAAGATTCTCAGAAGAATAAATGAAGTCACTTACCAACTAGA